ATATGATACATCATATTAATATTATGAAGACACATCAATCAATGAAACCAAATAGCCCAAAAGTGAACCCCTCATTTACAGTCAATTGACCTACAATAAAGGTGTCAAAAATACTCAGTGGAGAAATACAGTCTTTTCAGTAAATGATACTGGGAAATCTGGATATACCTGTGCAGAAGAATGAAATTAGGGTCTTGTTTCACTCTTTTGTACGGAAATCAGCTCACACTTGGGAAGGTGAGGCAGGAGGACTAGGAATCTGAAGCCACCCTGGGCTACGTAGTGAGCTCAAAGGCAGTCTTGGCCTTGGCCAGACCTTGTTCAACAAACCAAAAACAGACAAAAAATTGAATCAATTAAAAATGATTAAAGATAATTTTAAGAACATAAACTGTAAAACTGCTAGGAGAAAAACATAATGGGAAGAACTATACACCATTAGTCTGGATAATGATTTTTTTAAATTTAACCCTAAAGCACAGGGAACAAAAGTAGAAAGAAGGAGGATTGGTGGTGCATACCTGTAATCCCAACATTCAGGAGGCTGAGGCAGGAGGATCACTTCAAGTTCAAGGCCAGCCAGGGCTACATAGTGAATTCAAACTTAGCCTGAACTATACAATGAAACCCTGTCTCAAAAAAGAAAAATAGACAAAAGGAATTGGAAGAAAACTAAAAGACTTCTGCACAGCAAAAGAAACAAATCAACAGTGTGCAGAGACAACCTACAAATTAAGAGAAAGTATTCCCAAGTCATACAGCTGTTAAAGAGTTAATATCCAAACCACATAGAGAGTTCAAAAACTCAATAGCAAGAAAAAAAACCCCAATGTAAAAATAGGCAAGGGGCCAGAATAGACATTTCTCAGAAAATATATAAATGGCCAACACATGTATGAAAAAAATGCTGAATATTTATCACTATTGAGGAGATGCAAATTAAAAATGCAAGACACTATGTCATACTTATCAGAATGGCTTTTATCAAAAATATGAAAGGTAACAAGTATTGGCAAGATGGAGAGGAAGGGGAATACTTTTTATGAGAATTAAATTATGCAAAATTCTTCCTCAGTGAATTAAATATGAAATTACCATATGATCCAGCAATCTACTTCTAGATATTTACCCAAAAGATTTTTAAGTCAGTTTGTCAAAGAGAACTATTCATAATATCCAAGTGATAGGCTCAACTGAAGTGTCCATCAACAGATGAATCATAAAGAAACTACGGTATATATTTACAGTGGAGTGCTATGAGCCTTTACATAGGAGGAAATTCTGTCATTTTTAACAACGTTGGTGGAACTCGACAAAATTATGTGAAGTAAAGAAAGTCAGGCACAGAAAGACAAATACTGCCTATTCTGTTATATGTGGTAGAAATCAAACTCATAAAAACAGAATGAAATGGCAGTTACAGAGCTTAGGGGTAGGTGGGTGTCACAGGGAGATGATGATCAATGGGTACCTGGTCCTCAGCTACACAGAAGGAACTTTTTCAGATCTGGTGCACACCATGCTATGAATAGCTAAGCAGGCAAATTTCAAATGTTCTCACTACCAAAAAAAATGTTATTTGAGATGAAGAATATACTAACTTGAATATTGTATTCTTAAGTGACAAAACAACTTTGTGCCCCATAGGTAAATACAATTATAAGTTGTCATTTACAAGACAAAGAGGGAGGGAGAGGGCAGGAGGGACAAACAGGGACAGAGATCAATGTTTCACATAAAAGTACAGAATTGGAAACTGCTTGTAGGTTATCTTTGGATGTTGTGATATAGGAGACAGCTTCTTTCCCCTTTTTATAATTGTCTGCTCTTTTGACAATGAATATGTACTACTTTCATAATCAGAAAAAGGATTTATTTAGAAAGAAAAGGAGGGAATCTGGCCCATCCCTTAAGGCTGTTACTCATTAAGACTTCCCAAATCCCCTTGTTAAAATGAGCTTCTTTCCTTTATAATGGCTCTATTGTACTTTGTCTTGTATTATCATATTTCTTCATTGGACATTTACACAGTGTGGGGAACCACTCAGACTGCTTCAAAGCTCAGGGGCATCTAAGGACAGCACATCTAGCCCAGGTGCACAGTGGGATACAGTTATGTAACCATAACTTAGCACGGATAAACATGCATGTTCTGGTTACAACACTATGTAAGAATGTAAATATGAGATAACAACTTGTATAGGAATTATACAATAAAGATGCAGGCAACTCTGGCTCTAGCACTCTTGCACTCTGTTCCATGCTGGTCGCAGTTGTTGCTGATGTCTTGCACACATATGTTCTTTAACCTTGGGACCTCACCCTTGAAAATATCCCTTGGGCCCTCCGAGCAGGCAGACACACAGTATTTTTCTTGTAGGCAGTTACAAACGTCTGCCTATCAGTATACAGTTTTATCCGGGTTAACTTTCCAACCACCTACACAGGGTCAGAGAAGGTTTCTATTTCTTGGAGGGCAGGTGCTGTGAGTCTTTTCACTGCCAGGAACACAGCAAGTGCTCAAAGTGAATTCAATGATTTGGAGATGATTTTCAATCATTTTCTCTTCCCATTGAAAACTCAATTTAGTATTAATCATGAGGGTTGTCAGACATCAATGCATCCAATAGGGGATTTCAGGGGTGCCAGTAAGACCTTTTACCCAGGCCCACACAATAAACTCATCCTGGGTTAGAGTGGTCCTGACCCTGCGAGAATGGAAAATGTGCCCCCATCACATCCTACCAGGCAGAGGCCATGAAGGAAGTGGAGATGAAGGCACCATGAAGGACAAGGATCTGGAACTAGTTGGAGATGGCAGTCTCAGGACCTGATGTGCCTCTCCTCCCATCCCAATCCTGCTCACAGCTCTAGGAGCCAGGCATCGGTGTGGATTCCATGCACTGTGCAGGTGTGAAGCATCCTCTGAGAATGATCTCAAGATGCTGAGGGTTGAGCTCTGTCTGTGAGGAGACCCCTGCTGGTGAGGGGTGAGAGTCAAAGTTGCAGAAGGGAATCCCTCTTTCCCCTTCCTTACCTCTTCCTTCTCTCAAGCAGCTAAGGGGCCAGGGTCCCATTTTTCATTACCCCACTCTTGACTCACACAAAAAAGAAGCAAACAGCAGAGTGGGAGCCAGGGAAGATCAGCCCTTACACCTGGACAGAGAAGGCTCAGCCTACCCATCCCACCGGTGGGAAGATGTTGGACAAACTTAAGGCCAGGAGAAGTTTGGCAAGCACAAGTTTCAGTGTCAAAACTGGCTGACGTCCGTTCTAGAACTTGAATTTTGAGCTTCCATTCTACAGGAATCCAGATAGAAATTCCACATCATTTTGAAGAGGCAGGAGTCCCAGGGAGTTTACCAAATTAAAGGATCAGGTGGAGGGGTCAGGGATACAGACTTCACAGTTCTCTGTCTGCTCAACCTAACTCAGGAGCCCCTGATTCATGATCTCATCAGGAAAGGGCCAGGCTGGACTAGAGGGCCGATGACCTTTAGCATCAAGGACAGACAGTGTCCCAGAGCTTTAGCAGAACATTGGGCCCTTGATAAGCACATTCTCTTCATTGTTCTTGGCAGCCCCAGGCAGGGGAGTTACAAAGGAAGGTGTGAAGGAGTGTTGGGGAGCCAGGTATGACATTAGTTTTCTAGAGGTACAAACTGTTAAGTACTTCAAAACATGTGGCTTAAACAATAGTAATTTACTGGTAGCCAGAGCTCTGGTATCAACATCAACAGGGTTAAATCTTTTTGAGGGTTGAGGGGAAGAGCTCTTTCTACAGCTCTCTCCTAGCTGCTGGTGGGTTTCTGGTAATCTTTGGTGTTCCCTGGCTTCTCCATCGCCCTGATCTCAGGTTCCATCATCACATGGTGTCCTCCCTATGTATCTGTCTCCAAATTTCCTCTTCTTATGAGGACACTGACAGGTTTCTGCCTAAATAGAAATTCTGCTAAGTCATCATGGCAACATGCCAATATGGCGCTGGCCACTGGAGGCCATGTGACAAACCCCTCCTTCCTCCTCCCCTGTCAAATTACAACTTCCTTTTTACAACATCCTGTTTCCTTCTTCTTGCCCCCTGCCCAATCACTATCTGCCACATCACATAGACCACTGCCTAAACCCCACTCCCAGCCTGGCCCTATATAGCCTTTGTTCTCCCAGCCAGGCCCTTGGAATCCCCATCTCCCCTCTGTCCTGTGGTTTTCTCTGTGCCCACAATAAAGGCATTTTTTACTTTGTTCTGTTTTACTCTCCCCAGAAAAGCCTAACAGACACCAGTCCTATTGGATGAGGACCCACCCTACTGAAGTATGACTCCTTTGAATTAATCACATCTGCAGTGACCCTATTTCCAAATAGGGTCACATTCAGAAGAACTTGAGTATAGGAATTCAGTGTATCAATTTTCAGGGACAAATTAAACCTATATCCAGAGAGTAAGCAGTTTAGAAAGGAAAAAATCATCTTTCCTTCCCTAAATCTTGCTGCCTTTCAGGATTTTTTGTTTTGTTTTGTTTTGTTTTGTTTTGTTTCTGGTACCGGGAATTGAACTCATGACCTTGCGCTTGTCAGGCAGGTGCTGTGCAGCTGAGCTAAATCCCCAGCCTTTGCCCTTGAAGATTTTTATTGAAACGTTTTAGCTATTCCCTGGAGATATCATTCCTTTAAGAATTTTGGAAATGTCTGCTTTTCTTCCATTTTGTTTTCTGTCTTGTTTATCCCTTCCCTGAGGTATGAGATGAACAATAGCTCAGTTACTCAAATCCAGACAAAAACAAAAGGAAGAACAATCGATAAACCAGTCAATATTTCCAGGATGCTATCCTTCCAAATAAGTCAGTAGTCAGTTTCCTGGAGCATCGATGAGGAAGGCCGAAGCCAGAGAATTAGTGAGGGGAGAGGAGGAATTCAGGACCTCAAATCCTAGCTGTGTCCCTCTAGGAATCAGCAGTCAACATTCATTCCCTCAGCAGCTAAAAAAGAGAGAAAGCAAGCATTTTAAAAATCACCTTTATTTTAAAAATGTACATAATCTTTGGGTAATTCAGAATTAGCTTAGGCATATTTCAGAAGTTTCTGATGAGACTGCAGTCTCAACTCCAAACCAAGAGCCACAGCTTATTCGATTGGTGGAAGGATTAGAGAGGACCTCATGATACAGAAGGAATCAATGGCTACTGAAGACAGAACCCCACACAGATAGGCTTTCCTGCAGCATTCAGACACAGTCTTCAAATTATCTGTCAAAAACATTAAACACCGGGGACTTACAATTATATCCACATCTAATTTGCATTTTACAAAGATTTCCACATTTACAGAGCATAGAATTCAAAGTTCGACAGATTTCAGAATCATAAATTAATTTAATCTCATAGTAATAATAATTAAAAACTAGGTTCTACCTAGTGTAGTCTCAGTCTCCACACAGGACACATATCTCCTGCTGGTGCCACCTTTCTTGACACTCTGTGGCCATGACACAGAGTTACAATGAGTGTGTCAACTCAGGGCATCAAATAATCCGGGAATTCAGGGGCTCAAAGATGGATAAGGAGTCTCCTTTACAGCAGTCCAGCATCCCAAGTACTCCACTCTTTCCCAAGCAGAGTTGATCTGACCTGCAGGCAACGAGGAGGAACAGGCTCTGCACGCCCATAGACTTGAGTGTTTTCTCAGATGTCCCAAGAGGAGCAGTTGTTGTCTCCCAATACAACAGCAAATTTCCTGAAGACAGACCCTCTGCTCCTCTCTCCCACCCCATTCTCCACTGCAGCATGGTCCAGCCCAGGTGTGAGCTCCTCATGAAGGAAGAAAGAAAAGAGGGAAGGAAGCCAGCATGTATTGAGCACTATCTAATACAATTACTTTTCTGCAATCTTCGTAATTGCCCCATAAGATAGGATCATCACTCTAATTTTTCAGACATGGAAACAGGGATGAGGATTTTCCCAAGGTGCCACAGCAATTAAGTAGGGAAGCATCAATTTATAAACCTAAAGCTTCTCACTCCAGGGCTTTTTCTCCTGCCTACAGAGGCCAAGGGAGTGGCAGCAGATGAGTATCCAATTCCAAGATGCTTGGTCTGGAGCTCAACCACTGTAGACCCTGCAGCACGTGGGAGTCCAGAGGGCTCATTCTAAGAGCCCTGGCTCTACATCCTTTCTTTGTGACCTTGAGCAAATCATTGAACTTCTCCACATGGGGGCCAAATGGAAAGGGAACAGCAAGAACATCTCAGGAGGATACTTGCAAACCACACTGGGCAGCCACCATCCAGGGACTCTCACGATGCTCCCTCGCCAGGACAGGGTGGAAAGTGTGGCAATCTGATTCCATACACATCAGACCTTCTGAGAGTCAGTTGCGATCTCCAGGGTTCTGACCTCTCAGAGTGATATAAATCCTAGAGAATCACATTCCCCCCACTCCCTAAGGGACCTTTTTGCAAAAGGCTCATGGGGGTCAAAGAAAATGAGATCAGGATACTTTCAAAGTAAAATATGATTGAAAGTAATTAGGAAGGGGACAATAAAAGGGCTTAAAATGATAGCAGATAGGAAGAGGTTTGGGGTGTAGGCATTAAAAAGGAAGGGCTGGAATACAGTACATAATCTCTACTGGATGAAAAGGGTCAGGCCAGGCCGAACCTGCAGAAAACAGAGTTCAGGGGCTCTGCTTTGTCTGATGCCTCCCATGGGACTACACTTACTGCCAATATAGGTAGGAGACTTCCTCAAAAAAACAAAAACAAAAACAAACCCTTGAGCCTTTACATTCCAGCAGATTTTGGAGAATAAAATACTGATGATAGAAGAAGAAAGGGAAAGTGAAGTGACTCAAGTGAAAACTACTTGACATGTTTCTTCTCTTCCCCTAGGTCCAGTCCAGCCTTCTAGGACCCACAAATGCAGTATACAGTGTGTGCCTCCTGGGCACGTGGACAGCAGTCTCATCTCTCCCCACACCCCACTGCTCCCAGTTCAATGACTGTTAGCACACTAGTGCCTGTTAGACGTCTCTGTCACACGACATTGCCAACCACTTGAGGACAGACACTTTCTTCTCTGCATAGAGAGGGAAAAGGGTTAATAAGCTCTTTGCTCATGAACAGCCAGCTGAGGGCAAGCCCAGCCAGCCAGACTGGTGACAGCATCGTGTCCTGGGAGCAGGGCCACTGGGAGCAACTTTGTTCTGGAGGAATTGAGATGTTTCCAACACCTCACACTACTTGCTCCCCACCTCCGGAACCACCCTGCACCTGGCACAATCATGATTTGGGAGCTTCTTTAAAACATCAGTACCTAGGTAGAGATCTCAAGCAACCTAGAATGCTGGTTTGTGAGAAAAACACCTCCAGCTTCGGCAGCCTGAGTGGAAAAGGTAGATCTTGCATCTACCTATGTGTAAAGAGGGGAGGGTGCTGTGTGCAAAGGACGTGAAGTGTGTGTCTGTGTGTGTGACTGGAGGCTGGGCTCACAAGCTCTGTGGCTACAGGGAAGGCGGGGCCTGGTCCCTCTGCTCCAACTCTGGAAGCCCCAGAGCTCCTGCTGACCAGAATCCCCAGCGCATCATCAGCTGGCTGAGACTACTCCTGAAAATGGTCCTGCCAGGCTGGGGTGGCCAAGGACCAGCCACGAAGTGACTGTTGGAGAAGAACGAGGGTGCCTGACCAGGAGCCCGTGCTCAACAATGAATGTTCCGGAAGCCAGACAGTGTGGCTTTCCCCATTAGGTAAATGTCCTCGTCTGTGCCCTCGTTGAGGTACTTCACCATATTCTTCTCAAAAAGGAGTGGGTGGTAGGCACCCATCGTGCAGGCGATGTCGAAGAACTTCTGGTGGTAGTAGCACACGTCGGTCTTGCGCTTGGACGGGAGGAACTCATATACGTCCACCTGGTCACACAGCGTCATCATGATGATGATGCCTGCAGAGGGGAGCAGAGGGGAGTACCACCTGACAACCCATTCTACCGCCCCAGAGTTCTGCCCAGCAGGTGCAGCCACTCGTTGTTAAGAGTCCATCCCAGTCCCAAGCCCACCTCCCTGACAGGCCTCTGTAATCTAATTTGCATCTGACAAGACAGCTGTAATCTCATTTACCTCCTGACAGGCATCCTGCTCTAACCTAACCCACAAATGCCAGCCCCTCCTGAAAATGTCCTGCTCACTCAAACAAAGCCTCCTGTGCACCAAAATCAAATCCTCCCGTGCAATAAAGGTCCTGCACCTCTACCCCTATAGAAATCCAAACTCCTTGCCTCTCAGCACGTGTGCGATCTCTACCCTTAGAATCCCGCCCATCACTTCCATTCCAATAAAATTCCCCTCTCTTCACTGCGGTGCCTCATACCTGCTTCCTGCACTGACCTTACACTCAGGACCCAAACTTTGAAGAGACGGCCACTGGAATTTCTACTTATTTCTCTGTTTCCCAGTATGAGTTTGTTAAGCCAAGCCCAGCAGAATCAGGAAGCAGCACTGTATGTATCTTATGTACCTTATGAAACTCTATATCCCAAGAACCTTGACCAGAGTGGGGAACCTAAGACCTCCACTGACATCAGTGGACCAGAGGACTCCATCAGTCAATGAATTTATCAATGGAATAAATTATATGCAGAAAGGGGCCAAGACAACTGAGCTAATTAAGAAGAAAGTGCCATCACATGTACTTAACAGTACTTCCTAGCACTTTACACCCTGGAGATGGTATGAGTTCTATAAAGGTCATTCCATACAGTACTTACAGGAATAACTACAGAAGAAGGAAAACGTCTTCCCATAGCTGGGAAGAGAGGAAACTGGAAGAGCAATGCCCTTCAGTCTGTATGAAACTCTGCTCTTAGCAGAAGGGAAAGTGGACTCAAGGAGGGATGCCCCAGGCCGGTGCGCTCCAGAGAGGCCATGTAGAACAGTGAGACACAAGCCCAAGCAGGGACATGGGGCTCATGCTACCACCCACACTTGTCCCCAGCTGGATCCACAGAAGTGTCCTCTCTCTGTTCCTTAGGCTCCTTATCTGCCCCAAAAGGAAGATCTACTCCACTTTCCTAGTGCAAAGGTTATTATTATGATTAAATGAGACCATAGCTCTAAGACCTCTTTTGTCCACTATTAACATAAGAAATCTTTACGATGAAACAATTCTCACTGATAGCAAAACTGAAAACTGCTAGCGGCCACTTAGCTTTAGAAGATTTAGATGTGGAGAAAGCCCAGAGAGCTCTGCCAAGGACTGGTGTGTGCACAGCAGACTCTTCTAGGAGGAAGAACTTCTCACAGGAGAAGGCTCAAGTAATCCTGCTGGAACTCAGAGTGGGGTGGAAGGGTGAGGGCCAGGAGGGAGCCCAGAGGGATGGTGACAACAGCATGGGCAAAGGTAGGCCAGTGGGGTGACAGGAAGTTGTGCTTCTCAGGATGCCAACGACTCCTGCAGGAAAGGCTCCGGAAGAGCCCCAAATGCACCCATCCAAAAGCTGAAGCAAAGGGTACAGAAGACACGATCCTGTGCATCCCGGCCTCCTTCTATAGGAAAGCCTCTGACGGTAAACTTCCTCACTTGTTTGCTCAGGGAACATTTACCGAAGGATCATCCCATGCCAGACTCACGCAGCTAAGGCAAACACAGTCACTGCCCTGAAAGACTGCAGCGTGGCAGAGGAAGTAGACAGTGGGGAGTGGCTGGGACCACCCACCAGGACACCGGCCCACTGTGGGGCTCCAAGGAAGGCGTTTCCCCACCTTATGCACACAGTCAGCCTGGGTCCTCATGGAAATGACTCAGTGAGCCGGTCAAACAAAAAGAGGGGATGGCAGATGGACCATGAGTACTGAGAAGTACAGAGAAAGTCTAAGAAGAAAGCCTTTGACCAGCATCCAGGAGCCTGTAGCCCCAACCTATTCCACGTCCCACAGGGCCACTCCTCTCCAACCTAGGGGAGCGCCCACTCACTCTTCTCTCAGGACTTCTCTAGCCAGGTATTCCCGGGGGTGGGGAAAGAGAGACAGGCGTGTAGAACCAACTTCCGCTCTGCCTCAGGCTCCAATATGGCCTCACAGCATTGCTACTGATCCTGTCTTTGTTGAAATATTTGATATGGTGTTGATCATAATTCTTGGTATGAACTGTGATGTTTAGAAGGTTGCATCTTGATTACTAAGTTTTGAGGTTCCCCCAAAGATTGTAAATCTGAGATAAGAGCCTTGCTTACCACACGCAAGGCCCGGCCTTGTTCTTCCTGTCTCTCTGCCTCCTCTGCTTGTGTGTGTGCAATTTACTCCATCTCTGTTGCCAAATCCTGCCCTTTCCAAGGCCTACTCCAGTGCTCCCTTCTCCATGAAGCTCGCTGTATGTCCAGCTAAAATGACTCTCTCTCCTGTTCACCACCTCAGATACCTGACTAAATCTTCCCAGTAGACATCTTGGCTGGGAATATAGCTCAGGGGAATTGCACCTGCCTGGCAAGCATGAGGTCCTGAGTTCGATTCCCAAACCCCCCCCAAAAAAGTAGCAGACATACTAAAGAAGAACCGGATCTTACTTCTTTCTGTGTGTTAGATAGAACTTGGTACAGTGAGCAAGCAGAGCAAATACTAGCAATTGTTTTGGTGAACAAATCAATGAATGAATGGATGGATGAAATCCCAGAAGAGAGCTAATCTCTTCTGGAAACAATCGCAGGAGGTCTCTCCCCAGATGCGGACTTACCGAGCATCCCAGAGGATGGGGGATTTGGCTGGATCTCTTCTGGGGAGATTTCCTGAAGAACATCCCACAGCTCCCAAGGCATCTGGGGTCTGAGGATGTAAAAGGGCTGGTCGGGATGCAGCTTGCGATAGCTCTTGTAGTTGTTGAAGAAACTGTAGTCGGGATTCCGGTACCACTGAAAAATAAGAAAGTGGTGTTCTCAGGAGAGAAATGTGCCCATGCCCATGCTCCTCGTAATTAATCATCCTTGTCAGAGGATGCGGGAGGGGAGGGGCTAGGGCAGGATTCTGAGACTCCGCCCTTCCCTCAGATCCTAGACTTCTGCACAGCAAGACCAAACACAAAGTCTGCACTTACGGGAATGCTGGACTTGGTGACCTTGGATAGTTTGAGACTTTAGCATCACAGAGCCTGGGAATGCTATCAGCGTTGAAAATGGCCCCAGGCACTATCTAACCCCATCTTCTCTCTTTCCTTCTTTTCTTTTTTCTTTTCTTTTCTTTTCTTTTTCTTTCCTTTCCCTTCCTTCCTCCCTCCCACTCTTCCCCCCCGCCTCCCTTTCTTCCTTCCTTCCAAGATAGGGTTTTGCTACATTGCCTAAAGTAGCCTCAAATATCTGGCCTCAAGTGACCTTCCTGTCTCAGCCTCCCAAGCAGCTGGAACTACAGCACTACAGATACATGCCACCCTTCCTGGCCACAAAGTACTTTCATTTTTAAAGCAGAGAAAACCAGAGCATTAGTTGCCACATCTATGGATTTAGGGTCCTTCTCCTGACCAAGCAAATTTGATTGTTAAGCAAAATCAGTGCAAACCTGTAGACACTAAGGTAGAAAGAGTACCAAGAACACCAGAGGCCATCAGCCACTTAAACTGGTGGATCCAACTCAAGAATTAAGCGTCCCCAAAACATCCTGTCTGCCTTTCTGAGCTCACTGCTGCCCACAACAGACAGAGGCCAGTTGGCATGCGCAGCAAACAGAGTGCTCCGGAAAGAAGAGTCAGTGGTGCCGATCTAGGCTCTCTGCTCAGGAATTGAGCCCTGGGCTATGTGACTTCCTCTATCCACATTCTAGTTTCTGCACCCCTAAAATAGGAACAACTACACTTCCATCTACTTACTACTTGCTTATAGTGTTATCAGGGTAAAATGAGAAGAATTCTGGAAATCGGAGGCATGAGACGGAAGTGTGGGAACATTACTGACGGGAATAATAGTAGCTGTTGTCTATTCCCATGGACACTCGTCAGGAATAACTGCATTAGTGAACACAATCTACCCCGACAGCACGAAATCCAGCCGTAACTGCGACACAAGTCCACCAGCAGCTGGTGCAGGACAGGAGTACTTCTGAAATCACTAGTCCAGGTCAAGTGGGAGCCCTAAAACTCAAATAGCCAGGACTGGCTCCCCCAGGGACGATTTTAAAAACCAAGGAACTCGGGAACTAGAAAAATCAGCAGGCAAACAAGAGACTCAATCCTTCCTTCTCCTGGGCACTCACTTACCTTTGGGATATCTGCATGGTACATGGACGGGTCCCACACAATCAGGATTCCTTCATTGTACAAACTGTCCCTGAGGAAGCGCCCCTCTGTAGTGACCAACTGCAGAAGAAAGAAATGAGCTTGTCACTTAAACGTTTAGGTGTGGATGCTTGGCTCACGATAACAAGTGACACATAACCAGGCGCCACCTGAGTTCCCGAGCTCTCCATGGGGCCCTGAGTTGGTGAGAGGAAGGTAATGCCAGCCTGAACTGTGTTGACTTGAGAGGACACAAGCCATTAACCATGGCACAGAAAGGGCTCCATTCAGACTTTGGAACTGCCAGGGATGTAACTCAGCTGTGCAGAGCCTGTGTGGCAAGCATGAGGTCATGAGTTCGATCCCTGGTACCAAAAACAACAGACTTTGGAATTCTTGGGGTGGGGGGAGACATAGTGAAAAATGACACGGTCTCCTAGTTGTTTGACGTCACACTTTGAGGGGGCTCGGGAGAGTAGTGTTTTAAAGTATAATATGATAACTATAATATTTAGAATATGATAACTAGACCCTAACATAACACAATATATATCTCCACTCAATCCGCTCTTAAGTCCAGTCCATGGTATGCACCCACCTCTCTCATGAGTTCTAATGCAGCCGGTCCTTTCTGCAGTCCTAAAACAGATCACCATGTCTGTGACTAAGCCCAAAGGAAGCCGTCCACTTATTTGGGGGGCGGGGATTACAACTTTGAACACAAGAATCTCACCATCCCCACTTTACAGATGCAGAAAGCAGAATGTGGATAGGGGAAGTCACCTGTCTCGGGGCTGGATTCCTAAGCAGAGAGCCTAGATCAGCAACATCGACTCTTTCAGTGGAGAAGCCCAGGGTCACCAAACTGCTGGACTCTCAGGTTTTCTAGAACAGTCTGTTGCACATGTCAGTATCCTGTGCCTGTGAGGCAACCTCTTAGGCCTTCATTTTCCTTGTGAAAAATGGGGACAACCCTTGCTCTCCTGTGTCCAACAGGACAGGATCAAATAGAGAAGATGAGTGAATAAAAAAGACAGAAAGTGGCCTCAAGGGCTTAGGAATAAAGGGAGTCACATCTCTCTTAGAAAGTTGGAAAGTCGGAACTGAAACATGAGATCAGTTGCTAGTCATCTCCAAGAGTAGGCGGGGCAGATATGGCCCAAGTGAGAGGGGCACGTGGCAGAAATCAAACCAAGAACCGATGCAAATAAAAGCAAGAATCACAACCACAGGCCCTCCCCCCGGACCGCCATCACCAAGGCTGGAACCTAACCATGGGCACGGTGGTGGTGGCATCTGAAAATGACAAGAGATTATCCCAGAGCTGCCTCAAGAACAGCAATTGCCAAAACCCAAGATCACCGCACTGCCCCCTCTGTCCTCACAGGCGCAGGGTGTCTCTACGGGCCTGAAGGTGAATTTCATTCATCCAAAGCATCTTTGAGACAAGAAACGCAGGTGGTGGGCCCAATCTCACCAGGGACTGTGCACTTGTACAGGAGCTGCCGTACAGACCATGTGAGACTGACCATGGGTGGGTGAATATTAAGGAGAGACAGGATGTTCCAAGACTGAGGGCGAAATACGTGCAGATTCCCAGATGTGCGAGTATGTGGCGGAAACTGGTAGCGTCACCCACTATCCATTCTCTGTTTCTTCCTTGGTAAAAAACTCTGACCTTTAACCTAACTTTTAATCTGTGTTGGCCTGAAAGGACATATGGCTACCTAACACAGAATATCTGAAATAAAAATTCCCCAGCCTCTCTTGCAGCTAAACACAGCACATAACTCACCCTGATCAATGCAGTGTCGGCAAGTATGGCCTACAGGAAGCGCCCTCACAGGCCGGGTCATGACCATCCTTGTTTCCTTCCCCTTCCTGCTGGCTAAAAGGTAGATATGGTGGCTGGGGCTTGAGTGGTCATTGTGGGCTGTGAAGTGGAGGCACGTGCTAAGTATGACAAACCCACAAAAGAGGAAGAACCTGGGACTCGGACCCTGTGGAACATCATGAAAGCTCTGGAATATCTACCTCTGCAATTTTATTAGAGAGAAATATATTTTGGTCTTGTTATGCTAGTCACGAGGATGGGTAGAATGTTCCTCAGAGAGAAACCTCATTCTACTGGGGCGGTGAGCAACCTGTTTAAGAACTGCTCAGCATGCTGAGGACACAGGGAGAGAGCTGGAAGGGATCAGAGAGATGTAGGCATGGGCCATGGCAGTGAGCTCTGGGGTTCTTTGGTGTGACAGGGAGCAGGCTTCCGGGCAGATAAGGCTTTGCAAAACAGGCTTGACTAAGACAGTGACAGGGAGCGCCGGGAGGCAGAGGGCCCTCCCTATGCATCTGCTGATGTCCTCTGAGACAGAACTCTCTCTCAGCACCCGCACACCCTGAAACAGCTGGCCTAGTGAAAACAGCAACTTTTCCTTAGCTATGCCTCTGTCTATGCAGAGTACTGATGCCCAGTGCTTTATCTACCCATTGTCATGGGTAGCAGTGATAACTGGGATTTTAAAAATTGCCTTCTCCTGACACGGCTCCTCTCCAGCAAATTTGTTAGTGTGCACAACCAGCTCTCAGAAACATTCCCAGGATCTGTGCTTTTACTGACCTCAGGAATTTCCAGACAGATGCACAAACCTTTGTTCTTTACTATAAATGACAACAATAATGGATGTCATTTAATGACGCTTACTAATACCAGTTACTTCCATATATTATCTCAGATGTATTCAAATAGCCCTAGGAAGTGAGTATTAATATGCTGATCTTATGAAAATGGAAAACACTTAAAGATTCAATATAAATTGTGTAAGTCACATAGCTTGGAATTCAAGGACTCTAATTTGAGCCTTATATTTGGTTTTCCAGAGGTCGGATTCTAACATTCCTGGTACACTGTCCCATGGGAAGAGGGCAAGATGGCCACCCACACTCTCAGAAGAAAATAGCCAAGAAAGCATTGGATGAGGTGTTTAGCAGCACGAGAATTCTGCCTCTTGTCTGAATTGCAGCATGCCAGAGTTGGTAGATTAATGAAGGACTTCATTAATGAAGATTAATGAAGAATAAATCCATCATTTTCTGGATATGTAAAGTGAAATCCAGAAAACAGAGGGAATTATCTGAGGCTAGAGGTCAGCTTGAAGCAGAGACAGAACCAGAGCCTAGACCTGGGCTCTGACCAGAATATTGTGTCTTCTGCAGCAACACACATGCACACAACCAGCAGAAAATTTACATGAATAGCACCACATGAGCATCAAGGCCAACCCAGTCCTCCTGAGTACAACAGGGAATGGGTTACCCACCCAACTTGCTTGGGATGAGTGACAAAGTAATCCAGGATATGGTGAGTAGGGGAGATAAATGATACTTTTATTCAGAAAGGAGAAACACAAAGTGGTCAGGGCTGGGATCTAGTAGAAGGAAAGGACAGAATCCAGTAAGCACCACCCCCCTGGCATACATACGTACATACACTCACACATACCCTCAAGAGGACATGGCTCTGAACTTGCCCACATCAGTCCCCTTTGTGTGAGGCTCAAAGATTTCCTTTGAAATCAAGGCAAGACTGACTCAAAGCTATGCAGGGAGCTGACAGTAGGAGACCCAGCCCTGGTGCTTGTCTAACGCTGTGGTTTCAGGTGGACCCTATCACACCTCCACGCTCAAACACCTTGTTTACAGACACAACACCCTGCAAGGTCATAACAGGGAGAGCAGTGCTCTTCTCCAACACTCCTGTTTGTTCCTGATCAGGGAGGGCAACCTGGGTCCAGAGATCCTGGGGAGAAGGGGAGCAAAGAGCTCATAATGAGGAGAATAAGTCATTTCCAGAGCAAAGGAGCCCTGGGGGACAACTGCCAGAAAAAGGCTACACCAAGGAGATAGAGCACTGCTGTTTAAAAGCAACCTTTCCAATTACAAGGTAACAAATGTTCATTGCTTATAGTCTGAAAATTTAAGAATAGAATGCATGTGTGGGCACAGAGATACACACACACACACACAGGAGAAAAAAGTCATAGGTGCATTTTTCATGTCTTTTCCTTTCTGTTTTGGACTGAACTGTGCCCCCACCCCTACCCCTCCCTCCACGAAATTTAAGCACAAGAGCCCTAATCCCCAGTGTGACTACATTTGGAGATAGGAAGTTAAATGAGGTCATGGGGTGGAGCCCTAATCCAATATGGGGTGGTGTCCTTACAAGAAGAGGAAGAGACAGCAGAGTCTCTCTGTATGCTCATGCGAGGCCATGTGAGGCCCTGGCAACAAGGCAGCGGTCTATAAGCCAAGAATGAGCCTTCACCAAAATCCAACCCCATTGGCACCCTGACCTTGGACACTAGTCCCCAGAACTGCGAGAAAGTATATTCCTTTTGTTTAAGCCACCCAGTTTCGGGTATTGTGGCTACCCAACCTATACATACTCTATGTATATATCATGTGCATTTGTGTGTGTGTCTATGTGTGTGATGTTTCTTAACTACAGAGTCTAAACTTAGCATCTTCATTAAACTTACAGAACAATCCAGATTAATGACAAATACCCAAAGAAGGGGTCTAAATGCCTAAAAATGTCAAAGTTATGCTAAGACATGTATATGTGTGTATATACAGATGTGTATGTATTCATGCATACTGTGTGTACACATATGAATGCATGTGTACATACATATTATGTATGTACATGCACATATGTGTGTGTATCCATGCACATATTTCCTAGCTCTACTTGCTCAAAGGGCCAAGAATCAGGCACTCCAGAGGGAATGAGCATATCTAGTAGTCAGATCTTGGTTTTTAGTACCATTTCTCACTTAGAGATATCAGATATAATTGGTTGATCACACAGCAATGCCAGGACAACATAGGGAAGTAAGATGTCCCTGAATTTCTCAGTGTTCCTACAAAAGCTCTGGCCTCTTCAAACTCTTCATATACCAATTAAACTTCTAGCTCTGTCACTGCCTTTGATATAATTTGTACAGGTCACCCTCTCTCCTCTGACGTTAGTCCTCTTGTACAATGAAACGATCAGATGAGACCCTGGGCTGCACAAGGGCAAG